TTTTCCTAGGCAGTATCTATTCAGACCTGACCTCCTGAAATTCAAGCAAGAGTTCCAATAAAACCTTTTATTGCAGTAATTCCAGTAACAAGCAAGCAGCTTTCACCAAGGCAGTAAAGAGCTGCAGAAACAGTAAGAAACAAAGCCCCAGGCCCAAAGGTCCAGAGCACAAGTAGAGAGGAAACAAGCAGAGTCTTGCTCACCATGTCAATCCCGAAAGACTCCTGTGTTGCAGAAGGTGGGAAGCTTTCCAGGAGGGTTGCAGTGCATTGTCTCCCACAAGGGCTACTGACTACACAAGCTTATATACAGAGTGGTTTCTAGGCACTGTTATTGGACTTTTCTTCCAGGTAGGGAAACCGGTACCCTAACAAGTGGCTCCACTATCCAGCCCTCTTCTGATGACAGACTAAAGGAGACACCCTTGAAACAACGTCTCTGGCAGAGTAACCCTCTGAGTTACTCTGGGTTACAGAGTAACCCAGTTTCCCTGTTGCTAGAGATGATGGCCATGACCCAGCGGCAAGAACTTTCATCAAGGTCAAGACTTCCAGCTGAGGAGAATTGACCAGTGCTTCCCACCCTCACCTCACCCCCTCACCATTTGCTAGGCACGGGAAGCCTGGCATAATTGAATGGTCTGGTCCCTGGTTAGTTATTATTTATTTGAAGTTTTTATATGCCATCCCCTTGCTATATAGCCTCGGGACGGCTCAGGAAAATAAATAAATAAATACAAAACAAATAACAATTACAATTAAAACCCAGAAACACACTGGCTGCACAATTAAAACCTAAAAATATTAAACATTATTAAAATATTGTTTGAATAAAAAGGTCTTGGCCTGGCTCTGAAAAACAAATAACAACGGTGCCAGGTGGACCTCTCTGGGGAGCGCATTCCACAGATGGGGCGCCACCGCAGAGAAAGCCCTCCTCCGGGTACTTTGCTTCCTGATATCTCTCACGGAAGGCTCCTGGAGGAAAGCCTCTGCTGCCAATCTCAAGGGGCGGGAGGACAAATATGGTTACCCACCATTGGGCCTGAAACTCCAACTCATGTCTGAAGCTGAAGCTTCCTCTAGACTGAGGCAAGGTCCCACAGGATGCAATTCTGCCTCTCCATCTCTGCCACTTCTCACGTGCTTGTAGGAACCACTCTTGCACAATGGAGAATTCTCTACTGTTGCCAAAATGGGACCCATCAGCTGCTGATCAGCAAGTGAGAGTTTCTGCCCATTTGCAATTGCTTCAGGAACTGCAAAGTTACCCTTGCATTAGCAGTAGTTCCTACAATCAATCAATCAATCAATCAGTTCCTACTAGCTTGGGAAAGTCTTGGATATTGCCCTCTATTTTCACAATACTGAGGAGTGTATTCAATCTAAGTCTTTCTTAGAATGGAACTTTGGTTTGGCTATGCATACAGCTCAGTGGATAGCAACATAGTTGTTTTCAAATGAAATCTGTTTGTTCTAGAGGTAGATATGCCAGTGACATGTTTTATCCTAGGGGATAAATTTCAAGCACACAGAATCAGAACACAGAAGAAAACAAGCATTACAAATCATGGCCTATTTAAAAACACCAATTGGAAGGGGGAAAATCCTTTCATGAGTTCTATAAAAAGAATGCCCATTGTCTGCATCCTTTCCAGAGAACAAGCAAACAATGCAGTGATCCAAGGAAGCACATCCATGCAGAGAACTTCTGCCTGTACACGCAGAAGAGATAGATGGCCAATTTTCCTTCCAGTGTGCAGTTCCAGAATATTGGTGGCGTTTTTTGGAGGGTGCAGTTGACTGCACAGTAGAAGGGGAGACCTGAAAATTTCCCATAGCATTTTGCATCTGTTACCATGATGGAATGAACTCATCCTAAGATGGCCATATTATTCACCTAGTATCATCCAACTGCAGTTTTCTAGGAAAGCCAATATATTCCTGAGCACCTGCATGCATGCATTCGTAAGAATTCATATATATTCACCAAGTGTCTATCTAGCCCAGCATTCGGTTCACAGAGTGGCCAAGCAGCTGCCCACAAGCAGGACAGGGGTGCAACAGCAGCCCTCACCCATGTTCCCCAGCAACTGGTGTGCACAAACATACTGCCTTTGATACTGGAGGGACTGTATGGCCATCAGGACCAGTAGTCACTGAGAGATTTATCTTCCATGAATTTGTCCCATTCCCTTTTAAAGCCATCCATATTCGAGTGCTGAAATGTCACGTTTCAAAGTGCAGTGCCCAAAGTGTGAGAGCTGCTTCTCTCTAGAGAGAAAGAGAGACGCGTTTAAGGTCCTAAGCTCATCTCAACTAAGCCAGGAATTAACTCATAAGCATCCAAGTAGGGATGTGAAAGGACCACCCAGGAAAGACTCGGTAGGGAGAAAGTCATTCACATTTTCAATAAAGCCATGACACCATGTAAGACAGTAGTGGTTTTATTGCCTGCCGCATTACACAGTACTTTACCCCACCCTAAGCAATCTCAGTGGTGGTGCCGAAATAACTTGTTTGAAGCACAAAAATACAAATTACTTCTTGGCATAAGGCATTCTGGTGGTGGGTCGAACAGAGGGCAAATAGGCAGGGTCAAAATATGAAAAATACCAGCATTCATCGGCTTAAAACTCATTCTGCCATTCCTAAGCCCTAGGAGAAGCATTTCAACCTTTTTGAATAGGAGGTGCCATACAAAACGCAGGAAACCACCAAGCAATTGGTTGTCGGGAAAGTGCATGGGGTTGAATTTCGCCTCTTGGCCTGAGGTTTGGCACCCCCATCATGAGGGACACTTGCTGGTCAAATGTTTCCTTGCCAAGATGAATGTGAACTGCACAGACATAAAGAAGTTTCACTAGTTCAGTGAACTGCGCTCTAGAGGTAAATTCTTACGAGCCAGAACTATGGGGTAGCCACCTGAAAGCTTACAGCCAGGATGTAATTGTTTGTAGTCTCCAACTCCACACACCTTCCCCCAATTTTCAAGCAGCATTGACGGAGTGTTACAATGGGCCTGTTGACCACTTGATCAAAGGCTACAGCTGCTCACCTACCCTGGTAGGTACGTATGTCACACAGTAAACTTTTAACTGGCTATCCCAGGACCTTCCATCATTGCATTTCACTGCTAAAGCATGTGGAACAAGCATGTGGGTAGGTGGAAAAAATATTCAACAGGACATACAAAATACAGTAAAATGCACTTCTCACTATTCAATAAATATATTTTAATCATTTTGCTCTGGGGCAACTTATGCCACCCAATATTATAAATGAAAAATATATGCAATTTCTTATTTTTTTCAGACTGCAGAATGATATATTCTTTGACTGCTTGAACAGCAGCTAAGCAGTGTCCTGTACTTATGTAATCATAGGTCCAGTGCAGACAGAAATGCTCCAATGGATTATAACCAATGTTAGATCTACTTTGAGCAGACCCACTGAAACAAATGGGAATGAAGACTAATGCAGAATCCAGTGAGCTCAAGCAGTTCCTTGTCTGCCTCTCTTTCCCCTTCTGCCTCTCCCAGGTCTTGCTTGCCAGGAGATTTCACTCTTGGACATCACAACATCCTGCTACATCCAAAATGGAAAATGTGATTTAAGTGCTGCTTACAATCCTTGTTTGTAATCTGGGATCAAACTGTGGCTTGCAATCCTGGTTTGGGGCAGTATTTAAATCACAAAGCCCATTTTGGATGTCACAGAGAAAATGTAATCTAACAAACTAGAAACTCCTGCGTTGAGCAAGAGGTTGGACCCAGTGGCCTTATTGGCCCCTTCCAACTCGCCTATTCTACGATTCTACAATTCTAAGTAAGGCATGCTAAGGGAAAAAGATGGGAGGAGAACATTCCTGAGCTGCTTCTTGTTCGCACTTCAACAAACCAACATCTGTCCAATGTCAGCTGGTGACACAGCTAGGTCACAGAGCTGAAAAGGAGAAAAGCTGTCCAGGCTAAGAGTTGACCACCAGGAAGCAACCAGCTCTCTCCACATGTCAATCCATACCATTCAGATGGAAGTATAACCCTTGTAGGAAGCGGATGATCCACAGAATGCTTTCAACACAGCCAACAATTAAGCAAACAAATCAGGTCACATACTGCAGGAAGAAAACCAAAACAGCTGAAAGTAAATCCCAACCAGAATTAAGCAATGACAATGGAACAATTAAATCTAACTGGATCCTTCCCAAACTTTATTCCTGAAAAACAAGCCAGGCAGCTGAAACTGGATTAAAATATACACTCCCAGTGATCCTTTATTTAGAAAGAATGTAAAGTTTCTCATCTATAAATCCAGTTTCCAAAATGAAAAACAAAATCACCACTTAATCCCACCACCACCACCAAAAACTGGATATTCCAGATATAAAAATAATACTCATTATTAGTATTTAAAACTTCTCTTTAGTCCACATACTTTAATTTAAAAATTAAAAAGTAATTAAAAAGAACAGGAGTTTCAGGTATTCCCTTAAAAACAGCTAAATAAAAGTGCTGCTTTTAAAAAATCCTCTTTTTACAAAAATTAAAGTTTTCTAAACCAGACTTTCAAATTAATTTCAATTCTACTATACACACTCACAAGTTATTATATACAACCACTTTTATTGTTTAGAGGCAACTTCCACAATGACACAGTGGAGCGGTTGCTTTATCAAAGCAAATGTTGTGCCCTATTGCCTCAAAACAACCCTTTGCTTGCATATGGGTTGTAGGTTTTGTGCGTGTTCAGGGAAAACATCCATCCCATCTTCTCCTGGATGTTGCAATGCATTGATAAGTAAGGGCAGATTTTGCATGAGGGGATTTGCACTTTGTGCAACTGTATGCACAGATAACTTTACACACACACACACACACACACACACACACACACACAGAGAGAGAGAGAGAGAGAGAGAGAGAGAGAGAGAGAGAGAGAGAGAGATATACCACTCAATTACAGACCTATCGCCCCCCTGAATTCCCCCCCCCCCCCCCATCAAACCTGAGAATGCCAAGCTTTCAAGCTTCTGGCTCTCATGGTCAGGCTGATTAAGTTCAAAGTAGAACAATCATTTCTAAAAGCTCAGAAGCAAGGAGACAAGTTAAACAAACACAAAAAGGACTGATTTTAAGTTTTCTTGGCTGCAATTGATAATTGCAGAAGCATATCAGAGTGCAACGCATTCAACAACCGTGACTTGCCAGCTACCTTTTTTAAAAAAGGGTTGACAATTATGCAAATTGCATATCAATGAGAAATACTGATTAGCTGAGGCTCTTCAGTAAGGCTTTCAGAGTTGAAGAGGTTGCCTATCCTTGATCTATCACACTTTTCATAAAGTGAAAACTTCAGATACAATCCGAAAGCCTAGAAGTCATACCCTGAATATTTTTGGTTCTGATTTTAAAAGGTTATGAGTACTGTTCAGCCATGGTCAGCACTCTACATAATGTATCTATTTGCATGAACAGTTGAGAGAGTTTTGCTCTCAGTACTTTTTTTTTTTTAGTATTAAAACCATCATTAGAACAATTTAAGAGACCAAAAGATCAGAACCCAGAGTCACGTTCCTTCCTTAAGGGCATCTTCATCCATGATCCATTTTCATTTCACGTACAGCTGAGCAGTGCACCCGGAAAGCTGGAAGATCGCCATATCCCAATGTAGAATGCTGAGATGGTTGGATCACCTTACAGTTCCTCCATTTCAAAGTGTGTGCTAAAACTATTGGCCATAGGTGTGTGCTCGAAGATCCTTGTCAAGCTGGGTTTGAGCAGCTCCACTGAGTGGCAGGACAAGTGCTGTGTTGTGTCATTCTTCAAGGACAGCATCTGATCTGTACCTGGATTCCGTCGGTCATAATAAAGGGCCCATAGCAATGTAATTGTGAGAATCATGGCTAGAATCTGGGTCACCCCGATGGAGATCCCGAGAAATCGAAGCACCTGAAGTTGTTTAGTCCCTCTCAGGAAAGTATACATCTTCTTGCCACAACCCTGTGGAGCAAAAGAGAGGTGAAAAGGGTCAACTGACAAAACACAGACACACACCCTACAAAAAACCATTATGTTCAACTGAAGTTAAGAAGCTGACCTGTCAGCTCTCAAGAGACTTTGGAAAGTAGTCTGAATTCTGATACAGATTTATAACATTTAGGGTAGCTTGTTATGTGTTCTTAACATAAAAGCACCTGGAATTGTGTAAGAGAGCTACAAATGTTTAGTGGCCATTCAGAAAGTGAGGTCTTCCATATTTTTCTAAGGAGTTGTATCTAGTGTTGGTCTAAGTCCCATCCATTTCGATGGGTCTACTCTAAATCAGATTAACACTGGATACAACGTGTTGGGACAAGTGAAAATAGAACCATTTATTGCATCTCCTGCAATGTTTTGTGACATTAAACGGATGCTACTCCATTCACACAAAATGTTCCTATTCTCCACATGTCAAAATGTGTTTTCATTCATCTATGGTGCTCTACCATCATTGATAGTTTATGTCCTTAACACAGTCTGCAAATGCAACACTGGAGAGTTACAAAACTGTGAAAAGAGAAGCACAAAACATTTGCAGGGAGACTGGATTAATGCCCCATCCAGCAATCTGTTTCTAGCAAAGGGAGTTTAAGGGCAGGTGCAAACTATTTCCGCCCTCACTGGGTGTATCCACATACAGGAACTCATGAATGTTCACGCTAATGAGAGGTACATCTGTCTCTGGGTTCAAAAGGCAATACAAACACTGGACAGCAACTGCTGGGAAACAACACTGGGAGAAGGATATTGCCCTCATGTGTGGCTTGTAGGCTTGGCAAAGGTAGGAAATAGGATGCTTAAACAGACAGGTCTTTGTGGTGATCCCAGTGAAGATGTTCTTCTTCAGTGGGAGCTGGAACAAAGATGAGTGAATGCCTTTGGTGAGGAAGGAGGCTGTTTCCAGTGAGCAAGTTCAAGGAATCTCTACTGCCTCTCTTTTCTCCCCATCCTATACAGCAGATGACATACCTGAGAAGTTACTGCATATGTCTCCAAGCTCTGGAGTGACTTCAATTAGTCACTTACCTCCTGATAAAGGTCACTCAGATCCTCATGGTGTGCCTGCTTGGAGCAACCCGGGAATTCTCTTACACAACAGGAATCGGGGGGCCAATCCATTTCAGTCATTTCCAGCCAGTCTGTGAAGTACACTACTCCACAGCATTTAAACTGCAAAAGAATGAGTGCCCAGGAGATGCTCAGTGGACATGACATGCTGAGAACAAATCCACATTTCTTTCCATTCTACACCTGCCTATTTCTTTGGACTACCAGTAGTACTGGATGCACAGATTAAGCCTGGCATGCTCTTGGTACCAAAAACAAGCCCATTCCTTCTCCCTCTCATTCTTTTATCTTGACTGAAAGGATAAATCATGTACTCAGGATGTGGCCCAGTTGTCCCATAAACTGCAGGAACTCCCAAGTGAGATGCATCCTGCAATAAATTTTGTGATTTGCAGTCATTAACCCCATCCTCCTTAGTTCAAGCCCAAGGTTTTTTCTTGTGACTCATCTTTTTAACCACAGGAGCTGATATTAGGAAATAAGAGATCTCAGTGTAAGAACACTGCCAAGAAAGGATCTTGGCAATTAAAAAAAAAAAAAAAACCTTTCCAAACTAAAATTATGTGCTTTCAGCAAAATAAAAGGATAGGCACTTATTAAGGCATAGCATGAGGGTGGCTCTGAATGCATTCAAAGCTGAACCATACATGGTCAAAAATAGTTAGCATAACATTCAAAATGGGAAGTACACCAAATTAGTTGTTGTCTTATAATAGTAAGATAGCGTTTCTAATTAAGGCTCCTAAAAGATTGCCTCTGGCCAGGGATATATTTCAGAAGTATCCCTATTTCAAAAGTTAGAATTTGCATATTTGGCACAGGAGTTTTGCTAAGATTTTGGCTTATTTTAAAGAAAGGCTTACAGCAGGAAATGTCTATCAATAAGTAGTTACTTCTGGGACATTGTAAATAGGCCAAAGGGTTTTTATTTTTAACAATTTGAGACTCTCAGCTTTCCTTTTTATATAAAAACAAGAAAAGGTTTCCAGCCCTCATGACAGAAGCTAAAACTTTTAAAGTATATAAAATGGAATAGTGGAGGCAGATTCTGCTTAGCAGGATACTGGTGTCATCTGCCATGGCCTTCAGAAGCCTCAATTCCCTCAGAGTTTAGCCGAAATTCCCCAAGTAGTTTGCAATGGCTTGGGTGGGGCAGAGAATGAGTATTCCAAGCAGCAATATTTTACTTCTGGTTCTCATGTATTTTGGGAAGGCTTAGTCTTGAACTGACATCTAAGATTCCTTTGCTTCACAAGAGATCTGCTACTGCCGGAGCTGAAAACTCCTACAACTAGCATGCTGATCAACAAATCTGTGGGGGCTGTCACACTGAGCATCGAGTGATGAATTCCAGGAGTACAGAAATACTGGTCATTGAAACAACAGTAACTAAAGCCATAATCTTATGAATATTTAGACAGGAAAAAAGGCCTACAGCTCCCAACCATCACCATTTTTTTCCGCCTAAAAAGGCAAAGGATCACATCCTAATCTTGTGTTGCCTTGAAGACTAACTGGTTTATTATGGCCTAAGCTTTTATGGCCCAGTGCTCACTTTATCAGATATTTTTCAGGTTTACACACACAGACATAATCAGAAGATTCTTAGGCATGTTAGCACAAAGTGAAGGTTAAGTGTGTTCGGCTTCTATACCAAGTTAAAGGCAAACAAGGTCAAGTGGAAAGTAAAAGGAAAAGAAAAATCTAAACAGAGTGGGTGTAACCCATTCCTAACAAATATTAAATACCATTGCAAAATAAATAATGTGCAGTAAAACAGGGGCAACTATTTTCTGTAGTGAGTTCCTATGGAACCCAACTCTGATAAATGTATATACATTAATTCCAGCGAAACAGCTTCACACTAGAAACTCTCTCAATCTTTTTTGCTTTTGTTGAACTATGCCAACTTCCACGTCTATATAGAACAACCAGGGAGACAGACCTTTCCCCACCCCACTTGCTACACATTTCCTCCACCCCACTTGCTAAATATTATCACATTTAAGCCACAGTACTTTGCAAGATTAAAGGGTCTGTAACTCTCAGCTTGCCCTGGCAGCATGGTTAGATTTGTATTTATATCCTACTTTTTTACTGCAAGGAACCCAATTATCTTCCTCTCCATTTTACATTATCTTCCTCTCCATTTTATCCTCACAACAACCCAGCAAGTATGTGATTGTCCCAAGGACCAAGATCTCACGAGTTCCAGTCCAGCACCTTAACTCCTCGTATGCTGTACTGGCAAAAGTTTGTAGATATTTTTTTAAATGCAGGTCTAGGATTGCACCCTTAATGTCAGAATAGTGCTATTTATTTTCTACATATAGCCCAAGAGAGGGTTTGGCCTTTGTCTCCCTGAAAAGCCTCCACTGTATTATTTGACTTATAGTGAATAGATCTTATTGAATGTTGCGCTCTGCCTAGTAATGGAACATACCTTTCTCTTGCTGGCCTGTGGACCTCACCTCATAATAGCTCACCTGCACTTCTGGCTTTATGTGTGTGCGTGTGCCTGTGCATCTTACTGCACACACATTCCTGCCATGCCAAATAATTCCATTCCATTCTTCCAAATGTGTCCTTGGCAATGTCTCCTCAATTTCTTATCTCACTGGGCAGGAAAATAAGGTGACCCACAGCCAAATAGACTTTACTGGCGTCCATTTCTTGTCACTTCATTGATCAGTCTAAACAAAAGCACTTGTCACTCATGCCAGATGGGTAGAACAGCCCTTCCCAACGGGTGCCCTCCAGGCGTGTTAGACTACAACTTACACCATCTCCCAGCTGCTGCCTGGAATTGTAGCCCATGACATCCAGAGGGCACCATATCAGGAAGGTTGTAATAGAAGCACTAGAACATCTTATAGAGTTGAGTAAAATACCGCACATGTTCTCTTATCCTTCCATAGTATATGAATTGTGCATCTTTTCCTCCAATGAATGCAGAAAATCCAGGGATGAAGTCTGCTGATGCAAGTAGCTTTCTATAAACACTGCCCCATAGCTACCCAGAAGTGGGTCTTTCTCGATGCAGGCATGCATGCAGGGCTCCACCAAAACCTTTTTGACCATTGGGTACATTTTGGAATTTGAGAAACTGCTGTGAACATCACCACAAAATGCCTAATCGGTGGGTTGCAGCTTTGGCATCAACTTGTTGCATCTATGGATCGAAGAGGGAATCTTATTCAGCGAAATCTTTTGTTTCATGTTTATTGGAAGCCTCAACAGCTATTTAAAAGGTGTAGCACAATTCAGCTAATTGTGGGTGGGGTAATAAAGGTAATGCTTCTTTTAAACATTTAAAAGAATAGCTTTTTTAAAGAATTAAAACATTAAGAATTTTGAAAATAATTAAATTCTTTAAAAAGAATGTTGACAATATCCATCAGTTGCTTCTTTGGTGGGGAGATTAAGACACAATTTTTGTATGTTACAAAATTTTGGCACCTTTAATATTCACTGATGTAGATGCTTTTTTAAATTATTTACCTGTTTCATGGAAATTAACAAATGGAAGGGGAAATAGATTCTTTGCACCTTTTTGATGGATAAAAGACTGAAATTAGAATACTGCAAGGCTGTCCGTCATAAAATGTAATGAATTGAGGACCACAATGGATGGCATAAAAACGCCACTTTGAAATAGACATTTCTTAGGATATTTGGTCGGCTTATGCAAAAACTTATGCATAATTGCCAGAACTTTGTTTACATTTTGTACAAATCCATTTATGTATGTTTAAGGGGGGGGAGAGTATATTTTTTTAACAAATTTAACAAATTTTAACAAAACTGATGGGCTCTAAGTTGGGAATCCCATTGTGGGTATTACTGGAGGTTCCTGCAGGTGTCACATTGGAGACCCCTACGTTAATGACTCCAACTTTACATCAGCAAATTAAAGTATAAGGTAAGAAGATACATATTTTCAGGTCAAGCAACATGAAATTCTTTCTAGTCTGTTTTTATAAAACACTCCTGTGTTCTTTCTAGCACTTGAGTGACTTCATAGGAACACAACTTGAAACTTGTTAATTTTATATTCCTACAAGGTAGTTCTTTCTCAAACAAATATGAACTTATCGAATGTAGCCAGGAAATATTTAAATAAACAGGAAATCTGCACAACTGTGATAGATTTCAGATTTCAACCAGGGCAAGAGAATGACAGGCATTTAAAGTGTTCTTTTCCTGAATATGAACATATATCTGAAATTAATGGCTTTTACCTTGTGCACTTCCATACATTTGCTATATAACAGTTCATTCTTTTAAAAAACAGCTCTGTGCTTCGACCTTAGCTAGGGACCAAAAATATACAAGCTAGTGCTGTTCTCACCATCAGATGCATACAAGAAATTAAAACTGGCCACTGTACAGGATAGCAGTCCATGGAACAGTACTTGTAATTGTCTGGAAATATGATTTCAAGGCTCTTTCCAATTCTTTCAACAGTTTTTCATCCAGACCCAGATTTTAAACATTTAAGCTATTGCCATTTTGAATTCAAAATATCCCATGTCAATACAAAACATTTCCACAATGTCAAAATACATTATTTTTGTTCTTGCTTATGGGGAAAGCTTAGGATTAGGGTTGTTATTTGTCCTGAATTTAACTCCCAAAATCTAAGTTGATTGTTCAACAAAAATATGCCTTTGGAGTTAATGTTTCCTCATCATGCATGGCCAGGGAACAAAGAGAGTTATTGTTAAATTCTATACATTAATTCATTTGATTAGGTCACAAATATTAAGTTTCTGAATATTGGGTTTACAATTTCAGGGTGTTGCTGCTTTTTAAATAACATAGACTATAGTAAAACAAATCCAGATGTGGCTAGTATAGATAGGCCAAATGAAAAATACTGATGTTTGCTTGCTTGCTTGTTTCATAGATACAGTTGCATCCTGTGTTACCTTCCTACTTACCTCTCTCTGAAAAAAGTTCCAAGCATGAGTAAGCCACTGATATCTAGGTAATCCATAATTGGTCATTCTGGCTTTTAAAGTAACCATATCTGACCACTGCACAGGGACCTGAGGAAGATGACAGAAAGAGTGGAACACACATAAACAAATATATGAAAACAACTGGAAGGCATTCATAGAAGTGTTACCAGAAGCTGACCAGAAACCCAGTGAAATGCCTTGTCCTATAGTTGAAGACCATGTTTGTGTTGCCATAAGGTGGAATTTCCATTCCCTTGTCTGTTTTTATGCAATGATTTTAATCTCCTTTCCACAGCTACCTTCTTATTATTTTTTAAAATATTTTTTGGCATGTCACCCAATTACCAAAGCTCTGTGGGCAATTCCCAAAGCTCTCAGGCTAGTTTCGTGAAGGGAAAAAGTTTCCATACAGTCACTCTTCCAATCAACAGAAGTTGCTCAATACGGACAGTTTATTGCATAAGGGGGAAAAACCACATTCCTGCTCTACTCATAGTTATAATTTTGGCATTAAAACACAGACCATTTGGCCATTTTATTTATCTATCTTCCCAATGAAGCATAAATTTCAATAAATGCAATCCTGACAGAAAAATTCTATTGCAATCATTATTGGCCTTTATCCAATAAAAGACATAATCAAAGAACACCCAAACCAATAAAACAATTCACTGACTTTGGCAATCTGAAAATGTGAAGTGCATTAGTAATGCCTATTTGCTGATAAAGGAGATAATACCTTTTTACAGCAGTTATAGCAGTACTTGTACAGCATATTATTTTTGCACTTGCAACCTATGTTCAGTGGGTATTGAGAAAGCATTTCCTTTCCAATGTCATTCCCAAAAAATAAGACTATTTTTAGATGTACAGCTTGCTTTCTCATGGCATAGAGCATGACCCCAATCAGTGTCTGAGTAACAATGTTAAGCACAATTCTGCTTCCTTCGACATAACAATCCTCTGAGTCAAGACCGATTTCATTTCTGCTTCATTGTGCACCAAATTATCAAATCCATTCATATCATCCATAATGTACAATTCTGTATTGCTGCATTTACATTAATAGCAATAAAATTCTTACACCTTTTGCCTTTCCTTCTTTGGCTGGGTGCCCTTGCAGGGTGTGGAACGAAGAGATGCTGATACATTATTTGATTTCCCACCCAGTTTTCTGAGTGATAAACTGCTCATATCTTCAGGTTGTTAGGATGAAGCCATTGTAATGGCAGTTATCAACTTCCATCCTTGCCATGATTCTGCTTATTGGGAAGTGACAAAGGGGGAAACATTCTGCAATAGCTGGTTGGTGATAACAACTATGATATAGCAGCTCATTATCATGTAAAGCAGACTAAACCCTACTGAAAAAACTCCAAAAATGGTATGATTGATGACTTCACCTTAATCTCTTAATTAAATTATCCACACACAAGAACAGCCATGCTGGTTCAGATCAAAGGCCTATCCAAACCAAGGCCTTTAAATTGGCCCTAAAATAATTATATTCATATACACATAAACACATTCATATTCATATATTCAAATATTCATATACCCATTCAAATATTCATATACATATTATGTGGCCAACTAGATGCCTAAGGGCTTTCAGGCTATGGTGTCTCTTACTGAATGAATTGGCTTTGCATAATTCTTTTCTTGGCTTCTGCTGGTTCCTGGATTGCCTTTTCTCCTGACAGTATGTCCACATTGCTGGTATGCTGGCTGCTGGAGTAGGGATAGTTCTTTGGCTAAAATATGGCTTTCATTTTGTTCCCCCTTTGTTTAGTGGTATACAAATTTTGTATTAACCGAATTGGAGTACTGATATAAGTATTAAATGTTTATTTTCTAATACAAACAATAGCATTATTAAATCAACTGTTAAAACTGCAAGTTCGATTATATCATCCTCATACAAACATGGATTTTTGGTTCAGTTTTAATCAGCCCTCAAATTCATGGTATCAGCAATTACTTTTATTTCTTGGAGTATCATTGATCCAGAATTCAGTTGAGAGAAGACCACCACTGCCTTAGTCAAAGAGAGGATTCTATACTTTCCCAAAATTTTCAGCAGCAGTTTCTTGCCAGAACTTTGTGATCTTTGATGAGGAATTTGTTTGTATGTATGTGTTGTGTTAACTCTTCAGCAATTCTCACAAGTACACGTATTTAAAATATTTCACTGAAAGGAATTATCTAGAATAAGAAGTATCAAAACATTCATGCTCAGAATGCTTTGTCAAGGAACGGACCATGTATGTACCCAACAAAACCATCCCCAGAAACATTTATTTCCTATCAATGGAAAGCATACTGCAAAACAAACCCTTACAAAAAAGTACCTCTTTAGAAAGAAATTGTTTCAAAGAAAATCATAGAGTACAACTGCTATAATCTCAGCAACTGAGCACATGATCAAAGTTCCCAGGCTAAAATCCCTTGCTTCCTTCAGGAAAGAAAGGAAAACTAAAAAAAACTCCCATCTGAAACCCTGGAAAGATGATGACCTATTTTTCCAACACTCTTCCAGAACCAAGATACTCTTAAGCTCTCAATATCATCTTCCCCTGTTTTCTACAAGTAATACTCCAAAGAGAATCCAGGAGCACTGACCTAGTCCCTCTTTTCTTTCCATTGCCTCTGTCTCCATCAAGAAAGCCTACGTGTTCTGGCTTTCGAGCTCAAGAGCCTCCATTTCTATTCTTCTAAGTTAGGCACGGACAATGGGCTACATTTCAAAACCCCTCAATAAGTAATCATTCCAGACCTCTGTCAAGAGTGTTCTGGCCCTGCCATGAGATTCCACTGGCAGGGAGGAAGAAAAGGACTGCAGAGAATAAAACATGGGTGGCAGAGCCAGGGGGAGGTGATGGTAAAAGAGAAGGGTGCCCTCACCAGCTTGGCTTTGGCATCAGCTGTCCACCACACCCTCTGCTCACATGCATTCCCTGACAAAGAGAGTTCCTCAGCAGAAAAATAAATTCCCACTCCTGTTTTAGTCAACACGAAGCTATTCTACCAGGAGTCTGACAACCTAAGGAACTTTCCTATGTTCCTGCCATGAAGTTGGGAAGGACTTGACATTCACCAAGACCAGGAAATCCATGCCGAAATGCTTTTCCCATGACTATATATTACCAAAATTAAAATGCAACACAAGCTTGTGAGGGAGACAGGCTAAACAATAATATGTTCTCCGAGGACACAGGTGAGTCTCACAGTCACAAGTTAATTCAAAATGGATATTCTTACATATACCCAAACACTGGTAGGATTCTGCTGTCTTAATTTTGGTGCAACTTGTGAAATTTTGACGTGCGTGTAACATACACATATCTAATTATCCATACTTTCGAACAACTCTAATGAAAGCAAAGGTGTATAAGGCATGCTGGATTCTACAGTTCCTAGTGTTTAGCACAAGTGGTGGCATAAAATCAATACTTAAAATAACAATTGCTGTATTGGGATTTCACACAAACCTTGGCTATTAGAAATGCAAAAGACAATATCTTTTGTATTTTACTCTATTCAAACACTAGGTAAAGATTTATACTGTAGCACCATCTATCCACAAAATGCTGAGATCATCACCATGGCCTCATCACTTTCCTCCCTGCTGAGCATTTTAGCGGGAGCCAAGTTAGCTTCGGGCACAAGTCCCTGGATTATGGCCCAAGTGCTGATTAATCCCCTGAACTTAGAGGCTTACAAGCAGTGAAGAGCAGAAGGAGTGGCAGAGATGAAGACCCTGAACCTCCCGCTCTGCAATTTAGCTAGATGGCTCATACAGAGACAGAAGATGGCTGGAGTGCCATATCCTGGTAGCCTTAGCCTCTTTCTGCCCCTTTACCACCTCTCTGAAACCAGTTTCTCAAGTTTAGAGAGGCAGCTGGTGCCGTTCTCTCCGCACCAGCTCTGAAAGACAGGGAGACTGGAGCATGAATTCCTAGCTCCAAGGTCAGAGCTCTGTCTCCAACCTTAGCACTGGAAACTGAAAGCATCTGTGGCCTGCTAGATGCTGTCTAGAGGCTATAAGATAACATCTTCATAATTTTTGCCCACTTTTACACATCAAAGATGGAAATAAAGTGGCTTAAAGAAATGAAGCCCAATAAAAACATTCAGTTAGAAAGCTAAAGCACACAATCACAATAAACAATGCAAGGCAGCCTATAAGAGAAGAAAAATGACGATCAGATGGGGCAATGTTATGCAGAACCCAAAAAGCTTCGGCTAGGATTGTACAGAAATGAAATGAATTGAATAAATACTTTCAAAAATTTCTGCTGTGTATTCTGGAAATGCTACATTATGCAAACTCAGCCTCAGTTTAGTTTTCAAACTTGCCAATAGGAGAAACAGCTTTGGTTAGAAATGATGAGTGTGTGGGGCAGAGGGGAGAAGAAATTTTTTACATGATTTGCAATGCTAATGTATGAATCTAATAAACAAACAAAATATGACCCTCACACTTTTAGATATTTTGCAAGCCCGCCTTGTAATCTTGCACCACCTTAACATTTTGCACATCAGGAATCAGAAACATAAGGAGGCTGTTTATTTCTTCTACAGCTAAACTGGTGAACTTGGAACCCAGTCACATTCCCCATTAATATTAATTGTGTCCCGAAAATGAAATATCGCGCCATGACATCAACTCAAATGTTCAGTGACAATGACAGAGGAGACGGGAAACTGCTGTTCAATGCAGGCAGCGCTATCTGCTGGGTCACCTGAGGATATTCAGCCGCAGCTGCAGATGGAGTTAATTGGCTAGCTCAGCTCCTTTGCTGGAATTCTTCCAGTCTTTTCAAAGATTAGCATACATGAACTTGGAACAACAGGCACTTAAGCTAACTTCCCCATCTAAGCAATGAAATTAAAATCTTAAACTTAAGTGTAAATTGAGATTTCAAGAAATGTCTGGTCGTCTACAGGACAGCTGAACAGCTACTGCATGCAACACTTCACAAATGTTGATGTTTAATAAGAGAGCAATTTTCTTCTTTGTAGGCTGGTGTTCTTGATTTCAGGTGTTATGCACAGTTTTGGAAAATTTTGTGAAGATTTTTCTG